TTTAAATCTTCCTGCCTCCTTTTCTGCATAGATCTTTGAGCCCTGAGGGGAGGAGTTTGATGAAGACACCCCACTTAGGACTGGGTGCTCCAAAGTCTCTCATTCTCTGAATATTGTCCAGTTGTGGGTCCCTGTGTTAGTATTATTTTTTGTTTATTCATGTGCTTGCTTATCTATGTATGCAATACCCTCAGAGGACAGAAGAGGGTGTTGGATCCCCTGAGACTGGGGTTACAGATGGTTGTGAGCTATCATGTCAGTGTTGAGAATTGAATCTAGGTCATCTGAGAGGGCAGACAGTGCTCTTAAAGGCTAAACCACCTCTCCAACTCCTTGGATATATTATTTTTAATAGCTACAGAGGTTTCCATTATGTTATCAGTTCATATATTTACATTACTGAAATTGTGTTTCAGTGGAAGGCAGCATTGTTTTGACCACTTCTAGATTTGTGCTTATCTGATTCTAGTTTTTTTTTATTTCTATTCTAGGTTCTTTCTTAGAACCATGATTTGATTATATACATAGTATATAACTGATGAAGATACATTTAGAGACAAGCAAATAAATTCTGCCTGGCAGACATTCAAGTAACTTCCCCCACTATGGAAGAAATCAGTTTTGTCTCCATTCACGAATCCATTTTAACATTCCTGATTCATGTGTGTCTGTGCTTTTGATGGTCTTTGAAATGGCTATAACATCTTACTGGTCTCCTTATTAGTAGCAAATTACATACAATTTATCATTTATGCTCACTTTATATTTGTACAATAGACATTATTTTACCATGTAAAATTATTAACATATTGTTCTCTTTTTCCATTTACATAGGATCCTTCTAGCCATTATTACACACTAATGTTTGCATACGTCTTTAAAGAATACACAGGCTTCATGCTATCTTCATGTTCCAATTCAACCCAGCTCTAAGCATGGATTTAATAATTTGATGAAGAGGGATGAATACAATTCAGAAATTAAGATTTTGTTGGGGAAAAAGTCAAATCAGGCTCAACCAAAGAAATGAAACGAATGGTCATTTCAGGAAAGGCAGCAGAAGTGAGAAATGACTTTATTTGGCACTACTGCTTTTCCCAGACCTCTGAGTTAGGCACCAGTGACCCAGTCTTTGCCATCAGGAAGCTCAGCTCAGTGGCCAGGACAAATAAGGGAAAATAAGTGGGGTTAAGGGGGGCGCATGCACTCCTGCCACCCACCAGAACAGAGGGAAGGATCTGTTCCTGGTCCTCGGGTTCTGGATTCTGCTGGTTTCAGAGTATGTGGGAATGCTTTCATATGGAAACGGCCTTTGATACATGAAGACTAAAAGAGAAAAGAAATTAAGTTTCATCTTCCTTCTTTTTACACAAGAACACGAATTCTGGTAACAAAGCTGTTCCGCTTTATTGCTAATGCCAGAAATATGCATTAAACTGCTCCTTGGTGGTCATGAGCACAACAGACTTATGAATCCTTTTGTTTCTAATGGCCAAGTCCAGAGGCAAAGAGAAAAAATCCTTTAACAGGCTACCTGCATCAGGGGCCAGCTGGGAAAACAGAAGTCAAGCTAGGTATATCTGGTGTAAAGGGTTTCGACACAGGAGTTCACAGTTTGCAGCGCAATTAAGAGGTAGGAAACCCAAGGTCAAAGGTGATACCACCAAAAATGAAGGCAGCAGATGCTGGAGACCTCATTGTAAAGCATCAAAGTGGACGATTCTCAAGATTCCCGAGAAGCTGTTGAAGTTTACAAGGATCTCTGAAAACCCCTTCAGTCTATCCCATCCCCTGTCTGTAGCTGTCAAAGACATAATTGTCCTTAGTTCCTTGGGAAGCTTTGTTAAATCTTACATCTGCCATGGAGTCTGGCTATGGAAAAAAACCACTTCTGGTTTTTGTTTCACTTAATGTTTTTATTAGCATATATTAATTATGTATGATAGGTTTCATTATATTTTAATACATGTACATAATGTATTTCAGTCAGCTTCACCTCCACTACTCAATCTTGTCCCCCTCCCACTCCTGTTATGTCCTTTGCTCTTCCCAACTAAACGCCTTCTATTTTGATTTTGTTTCAATCTAAGGCATTTCATTAGGGTTGTTCACAGGAACATGGGTTGGAGACTGCTTACTAAACTTTATTCTTCTTAATGGTGGCTAAATTACTAAAGAAAATATCTTCCCCTCCTCATTAACCATCTGTGTATAAATCCTCAGGAAGGGGTAGAGCTTTGTGGGACCCAATCCCCTATTTCAAACAGGACTTCTGCTTTTCTACCTTCCAAATTCCTTGCAAGTTCCAGTGACTGGCAAAGTCTATTTTTTTCTTTTGTTTTGAGACTGAGATTCTATTATCCCAGGCTGGCTTTGAACTTGCTATATAGCCAAGGATGACTTGAAGTGTGTGTGTGTGTGTGTGTGTGTGTGTGTGTGTGTGTGTGTGTGTGTGTGTGTATAGTGTAGTGTAGTGTAGTTTATGTGTTCACATGTACAAGCAGACATGTGAATTCTTGTGGAGGCCAGAGGTCAATTGTCTTCCTTGGTCACTATTATTTGAGACAGGATCTGTTATTGAACCTGGAGCTCACCAATTAGTCTAGGATGACTGACCAAAAAGCTCCAGGAAGCCACCTGTGTCTGCTTCTCCAGCACTGGGATCATAGGTGCACATCATCCCTGGCTTTTTATGTGGATTCTAAGGGTCTAAACTCAGGTCCCCATATGTGTATAGAAAGTACTTTATCAACTGAACCATCTCTCCAGCCCAAACACTGTTTCTCCTGCTCTACCTCCAAAATGCTACTATAAGCATGCACTACCCTTGATTTTATGGAGAGCTAGGGCTCAAATTCAAGGTTTCAGATATGGTTAGTAAAGCACTCTACCTACTAAACTACATTCCCATTCCTATCTTGACAAACTCTAAATCAGAACCAACCGAAAACCAGGATCTAGAGGAATTTGCACCCCAACTTATCTCCACTAGGGAAAATCCCAATAGGGGAAGTGGTGACATTGAGAACCCAATTCCTGCACATAGCTAGAGCTAAGTACATGACAACCATCATTGTCACCACTATTTCTGCCACTGAAAGCCCAAACGTATTCCCAATTAAAAGTGAGAAAAATAAAATAGTATGTTTTCTAAATAATACCAAGAGCAATTTCATCATTTTGTATTGGGCCAGCAAACTATGTAGTCACACAGAAATATAAAATATGTTGGGGATCTAGGCAAAACCCATTTCCTGTGACAAAAAATAAATTAACAGCAACAAAAGGAAATCTGTGAGTTTGAGGGGTTCCTAGGAGCAGAGGAAGAAGCTGTCTGATTAGAACGGGGGTTTCTTGTTTATTTTGAAGATTGTAATTTATTAGGTTTCCCCGTAATTTATTAGGTTTCCCCTTCCCTTTCCTCTCTCCAAACCCTCTCTATAGCCCCTGCTCTCCTTCAAGTTCATGACTTTTTATTAGTTGTTACTGCATGCACTTTTTACTTGTATAGACAAATATATTTCTTAAATATAAGCTGTTGCGTTTATGTAATGTTACCTGTATATGTTTTCGGGGCTGATTGCTTGGCACTGGAAAACAGGTTCTGAAGACAGGAACAAGGATAACTTTGGGCCAAAGGCTAAAGACCAGATGAAATAAAAAAACACCCCAGCAGATGGTTGTGGTTTTGTATTCCCCCAAATATTGTGCATGCTAATAAACTTATCTGGGGTCAGAGACAGAGCAGCCACAATATTAAACATAAAGGATAGGCAGTGGTAGCACATGCCTTTAATCCTAGCATTCCAGAGGCAGAAATCCATGTGTTCCAGGATACAGCCAGGCATGGTGACTCATCACGCCTTTAATCCCAGAAAGCGAGCCTTTAATCCCAGGGAGTGGTGGTAGAAAGCAGAAAGGTATATAAGGCGTGAGGACCAGAAACTAGAGGCATTTGGCCTGGTTAAGCATTTGGCTGGTTAAGCTTTCAGGCTTCTAGCAGTTCAGCTGAGACCCATTCTGGATGAGGACTCAGAGGCCTCTAGTCTGAGGAAACAAGACCAGCTGAGGATCTGGCAAGGTGAGGTAGCTGTGGCTTGTTCTGTATCTCTGACCTTCCAGCTTCACCCCAATACCTGGCTCACAGGTTTGATGTTATTAATAAGATGTTTAGAAATTTGTCAACAGATGGTGGCTAAGAAATGAGAAGAACCTGACTCTGATACACTCTCCCCATCATGGAAAGGCCCAAAACTTAGAAAGCAATCATGAAAGCTCTCACACACTGGTGTTCTCCTCTGCTCATGCCTTGGGATATTTCCGTGCCTTCGAAGGAAACTCAAAAGTCTCATGGAGCCTCAAAATAGAAATGAATTTGTTGTAAGAACATAGTTAAATATCTTGCCCATTTATGTCTGTGGACTGAGATTTGTAGCCCACTGATCTTCCAAGCTGATTTTACGAATTATCTGAGATTGCTAATTAGTACATCTTAAAGGAGAATGAAGTGTTTTTTAAGCATGGTATAAAAGTTCACTATAAACAGTGTGTTGCTTACTTTTCCTTAACAAGAAAGAACCAAGTATTCTAGATGTGTCTCAACTATGAAACTAACTGAAAAGTACATCATTAACATTAAACACTATCAGATAACATTAGTAAAAGTTACATAAAAAGTGTTCATTATAAAAGCAACCAAAGCATTTATGTTAAGAATAGTTTAAATGTTTATTCATTACATTTATTTGGACAACAAAAAATAAAGATAAACGTACTTATCCAAAGCAAGTCTTAAAAGTAGACATTTATTCATTTATTGAGCTAATACAACAGGATTAGTCTGTAAAATTTTGAAGACAGCAAGTGTACAGTGAAATATTCAGTATCACCATGAAATTTAACTTGCAACATATGATTTTCACAGAAGATATAATATAATATAATATATATATATATATATATATATATATATATATATATATATATATATAAAATCATGGGAACTATTCTGAATACTTTATACAAATAAAGGGCATTGTTGGGACTTAAAATGCAATGAAGTACTTGCCTAGCATGTATGAGCCTTGAAATTCAATCCTTGTTATTATAAAATAAAAAAAATAAAAAGCCAATATATCTCAAATGTGCCATTTAAGCCTACATAACTTTTAAATTTAGTCACCCAAATTTTAGATTTAATTCCTCTAATTTTCCAAGTGTCCAATGGTTCCATGGGCCTAGTGATTACCACAATGAACAACCTGTTACTTGTGTTTGTATTCCTGTGGAAATGTCCATTGGCAGGCTTCTCCAAATAAGTTATGTAAGCAACAACCATTCATCTTGAAAACAGAAAATCTTGATCTTGTGGTTTATTTTTTTAAAGGCCAAATTCAATTTGAAATCTGTATATGCAGTTTGAAGTTAGTTATTGCCCAGTATATAATTTCACTTTTCTTTTTAAGTACCAAATATGTATGTATTTATGAAGGACAATGTTAAGTTTTGATGTACATTTATAGCATGGATTTTATTTCTGTATTAGCTCAACCATCAATATTTGTGAAATTGGTTAAACTGAATGGTGAAACCAGAGACTATTTTAGATGAGTAAGTCTAAAAAATTCTTTTCAAGCCGGGCGATGGTGGCACACGCCTTTAATCCCACCACTCGGGAGGCAGAGCCAGGTGGATCTCTGTGAGTTCGAGGCCAGCCTGGGCTACCAAGTGAGCTCCAGGAAAGGCGCAAAGCTACACAGAGAAACCCTGTCTTGAAAAACCAAAAATAAAAAAAAAAATCTTGTCAAAATTATTTTGTCCAAATATGGAAGGTTTTTAAAACTATCTACTTTTTAAAACCTTTCTAAACACACCTACAAGATAAAGATGTACACACAAACACTATAGTTTTGTTAAGCTAAAAGAAAATACTTATTTGTTTACTTATTTATTCAGAGAACAGTCTTAAAACATCTAGGTTTTTTTTTTTTATGTTCTTTTGGTGCCAGGCTTTAACCTAGAATCTTGTGCATATAAACATGTGTTCTACCACTGCTATCCACAACATCTAATCATACATAATCCTCATAAAGTCACACTGCATTCTACTAGAACACTCAAAGTTGAATTTAGTTTTCAAAAAGTTGTGTATGCGTATATGTGTGTATGTGTTCTATAAATTGGTCACATAAAAGCATAACTATCTCTCACAAGTTAAATAACAAGACTTCAAAATAGTTATACTATTTAACTGAATTACAGTATCATATTTCCATTGTGTTTTTTTTCTCTGCTTTATCAAAACTCTGAAGTTAGTCAAGGTCAACTATGTAAGACAGAATTTTGGGTTATACTGAAATTTTGCATGTTTTGGGTTGTATTGAAATTTTGCATAAGAAAAATTTGCTTAGTAAGCAGTTTAAAATTTACTTCAAGTGCTTATAAAATTTTTTTGATATGTTTAAAGATAAAAGGTGGCATTGTGACTAACAAAATATTTCCTAAACACAAATATTCAAATATTGGAATTATTTCTGTGGCTAAAACATTCAATAACTTTCTCTACACCAAGGGGCTTATGTTAAAAACAAAATATTATTCATGATCAAGATGGATAATTTCCACTTTGCCAATATCCTTTTAGACAGTAGTTCTCAACCTTCCTAATCCTGCCATCCTTTAATACAGTTCCCCATGGTGTGGTCAACCTGAACCATAATATTATCTCATTGCTGCTACATAACTATAATTTTGCTATTGCTGCGAATCATAACATAAATATCTAATATGCAGGATATCTGATATGCCACTCCTGTGAAAGGGCCGTTTGACCCAAAAGGGGTCAAGACCCATAGGTTGAGAACCATTGCTTTAAGAGCACTTTTCTCGGAATTTCTGACCAATGTTGTCATATACATGCAACACTCAGATTTAAATTTGTGTGCATTTGACTAGTAGAATATATCTGAAAAATGGGAAATATATTTAAACCTTTACCCAGATACTTCAGAAACCAAAATAATTTCAGTGTCTGAATTTGGTCAGATTCTTATTATTCACAGACATTGTTAAATTTTAATTACTAAAAGGAATGCCAACTCCCTTGGTAGTATTCTACATTCAACCTGAGCAAACTTGTGTGATAAAATGTTATCAAGAGGTAATTTAAAGGATACCACTCTTATTAGGAGTAAACCAAGGCATCTAGGTTTTCTCTCTGAAAGGCTTAGGTCAAATAAATGTGACTGCAATCTTGTCATTGTATAAAATGTGTAGGAAAGACACTCACTATAGATGTTCTAGATATAAGTAGGTGATATCTCCTTTCTGAATCAACAGTTTATACCTAAGTGCTAAAGTGTCAACTCACTTGGCGAATACCAAGTTTCTATTGTATGCACATTATGCTTAGTAGATTGTGGATTGTCCTAACAATAGTTCTGTGCTTACGTGTGTGTGTTGCTGATACTCAACTTTCTTCCACCATTAAGTGCTAAGTCTATATTCAAATAACCATGTAAAACAATCAAGGATTTCCTAGTATTCCCCTAACTGGAGGCTCAAAGCAGCAGTACACTGCTCCACATTTTGTCCAGAGACAAAGTATTTCTTGAAAACAGAAGAGATCTTTTGTCAAGTATTTTGTAGTCAATACAAAACTTTGACATTATGACAGGTTATACAATTTCAGAAACTTACAAAAACGATCTACTGTTTTAGAAAAAATGGATGGGTAAGTGCTTTAGTTAGTTTCATCAGACTGTTTGGTTAATTCCATGGAAGGAGTTGCTGCTAGAAGTTAGTATTATTAGTCTATAACATTTCTTGGGCTTTGTCTAAGAGTCTGGAGACAGCTGTTGATGGCTGTCACACACAATTTCCAACAGCATCCAGTTTCTTCTAGATTATATTCAGGGTAGTTGTTCTGAAGAAATTCTGGTGGTAAAGATCCAAAACAGAACAGTTATTTGGAAATCACTTCTCAGAGAAATTGATTCATACATTCTTAGCTTTACTGTTTTACTCTCGTTCCCCTGTTTTTCAGTGCTGGAGATCTAATCCAGGTCTCCCACTGAACTGCACCCCCAGCCGAGGATCTTTAAGAATTGAAAAAACTGAAATGCATGGATTACTACCATTACTAAATGAGCTGGATAAATCTTTTCATCTGAAAAAATAATAACATAAAATAGCATCATTTACAAATCATAATAATCTCCAATGATATTATTATATACCAGAATAGAAATCCTCAGCTGTCTTAATTACCCAATTTCAACTCTCCTTATTCTTAAGTGTCTCAATCATGCATCTAACATATTATCTCAAAACTAAGTATCTTAAGTCCTTTAAATGTACAAGAAACTGCAGTGTCTTCATACTTGGAGACCCAGGAAGCTGGTGCTTCTTTTTTTTTTTTCTACTGATGGTCTTATCTTTAAAAGAATAAGGGGATTTAGATCTCTCATTCAGAGCAAGATGGTGCATAAGGGAAGGTGACAAAGTAACATTATTCAAGAAGCGTTCTTAGAAAAAGTGGAAATACAAGGGTGGGGGGAGAGAAGAGAGGTGTTTATTAGCATAGCAAAGCTGCTCTCAAATGCTTTTGCAGGTTAATGCCTCAGGGCCTTTGATCCTTTAAAATCTGGTGGTCCTTACATGTCAGCATTAGTTTGTAACACTGATCTGCTTCTGTTTCCGCCAAATTAATAAACTAATAAATCAGGACAAATTAGCAATACATGTGTTATAAGCTTTCCCACCCAAAATACTGCTGAGATCAGCAGTAGCCTAGAAGGAAGCTTCTGTGATAAGTCACTGTATTCAATAGCAGACTGTGTTCTGACGAGCATCGTTTTATTTGTGTGTGTGTGTGTGTGTGTGTGTGTGTGTGTGTGTGTGTGTGTGTGTGTGTGTGTGCTTGTGCATATATGGAAACTATGCCATGAACTGTATTTGAGACAAGGTCTCTTACTGGCCTAGAACTCACCAATTAAGCTGATGGGCTACCAAGCCTCAAAGAGCTTCCTGTCTCTGCCTCCCCAGCCCTGGGATTATGCATGTGTACCACCATGCCCTGCATTTTGACATGGGTTCTGAGAATCAAACTCAGATCCTCATGCTTTCAAAGCAAACATTTTACTCGATGAGCTCTCTCCCTATCCATGATGGACACTTTTATGAAACTAAAAACAAGTCAGGAAAAGAAGGTTTGTCCCATGTGTCCATGGCTACAAAGCTGTGGCAGATAATGAACACATGAGAAGGTCAATAGCATTTGTAAAGCACACAAGAAGTAGAAAAGGGACTGAAGTTAGTTTGTGCTTCCAAAAATGTGTTCTCTGAAACATTAGTCCTGAAAGAAATTATGGGGAAAAGTCTGATTGTGTAAAGATTGAGAAATATGATGTTCTGAAGTTAGTCTCCATTTAGGATTTTATCTTGTATGCAAGTAATATTAAGAGCTCTGGCCGGGCGTTGGTGGCGTACGCCTTTAATCCCACCACTCGGGAGGCAGAGCCAGGCGGATCTCTGTGAGTTCGAGGCCGGCCTGGGCTACAGAGTGAGCTCCAGGAAAGGCGCAAAGCTACACAGAGAAACCCTGTCTCAAAAAACCAAAAAAAAAAAAAAAAAAAAGAACTCTGAAAAATCCCACATCATCCCACATCAGAGCTAACAATATAAGTAACTTTCATTGCATAAAAAGGTTAAAGGTGCCACGGTACACATAAATGAGGGAGGTTATTGCAAAGTGTTTCTTTTATTTTGGTCACACATGAACATACTGGGTTACAATGTACTATGTAATTGTTAGTGTAGGTTTCAGTTGTGTGTTTTAAAGGTGGAAAACAATCGGGTGAGGTGACAGTAAGTGCTTACAAAGGGAGCTATAATTCAGGTTTCTTCAGTTTAGCCTGAAATATGAGTGTTCTAACTTACTGGAAGTGGAATTATGTGATATGAGGAAGAACTAAAAAGGTATCAATGGAGGTCAGGCTTGGAATCAGATATATATATATATATATATATCTGTGTTAAGCACCAGCAAGAAGTATTCTACTTTCTCCTTTGTCTAAATTTAAGATTTCACAGCATTTTGGAGTGAAGACCTCTTACTTCATTTACATGTGTTATAGGGGGAGCCTAGTTTATGTGAACATGCACCAGGAAAATTCTGCAAATCAATGAAACCCTTCCCTTTCAACCCTGTGCTTCAAAAGTGTTGTTGAGTTACCATACCTATGGTAGACCACAGTCAGTAGAGCCTCTCCTATCTTAGTTAAGTCCACTCAAGACAGAGCAGTTAGCCTTCAGAAGTCAAGTGCAAAAAGAGAATTACAAATCATGAACCTTATTAGTCCTCAAAAAAAGAATGAGTACAACTTCCATGTCTCTGAGAAAAGACACAAATGGAATAGTTTCTTCTTTTTGCCCTTTTGTCCTAACACCACTGGCTTGCAATTATTCTTTCACAGTCTACATGTAACAAACCTTGGAGAGCCTTCATCCTATTGGAATCAAGGGAATACAGGCCACACTGCACACTGCCATAGACATTACTTCTAATTAGGGTTTCCTCTGGAAACAAGTGGAGACTGATGTATTTGGCTGACAGATATGGGCGCAATAGGGCTTTTGCTGTTTTCAGTACTGAATGTGGTATCTGTATATTTCTAGATGGATCTCCGAGATATACTAGAAGCAAAACAGAAAGACAGAGATTAGATTGTACTTTTAAAATGTACTGTTAGAAAGATTAATTTTTCTGAATTTTTAGGTTCAAGAATTAGAGAATTTAAATGAATTAAACCTTAGGTTTAATTTGTTTTTGTTTTTCGAGATAGGGTTTCTCTGTGTAGCTTTGTGCCTTTCCTGGAACTCACTTGGTAGCCCAGGCTGGCCTCGAACTCACAGAGATCCGCCTGCCTCTGCCTCCCAAGTGCTGGGATTAAAGGAGTGCGCCGCCGCCTGGCAAATTTTGTTTTGTTTTTATAGGTTTCTGGGTTCTTGTGAGAGTAAGTAAAAATAAGAAGTTGGATAGATAAAGAGGTGGGAAGGATCTGGGAGTAGTTGGAGGAGGGGAAAATATGATCAAAATACATTGTTTGAAAATTTTTGAAAAAAAATTTAAACATAACTTAAAATTTTAAATTATGTTTAAAAACTAGTATATTATGAGGCATCATAAGAATGATACAAAAATTACTGCTAGCATAATTGCATATCTATCATTGTTCAAAAATATGGCTTTCTGTTCTTCTACCTTTTGGCATGCAGTAAGTAATAAAATTAAATTTAGTTAGTATATTCTAAACAATTTTATGTATTATTTCCCTACTCACAAGAAAGACTTTTTCGCCGGGCGGTGGTGGCGCAGGCCTTTAATCCCAGCACTCGGGAGGCAGAGCCAGGTGGATCTCTGTGAGTTCGAGGCCAGCCTGGGCTACCAAGTGAGTCCCAGGAAAGGCGCAAAGCTACACAGAGAAACCCTGTCTCAAAAAAACCAAAAAAAAAAAAAAAAGAAAGACTTTTTCAAAAATAAGCAACATAATTCTTATTGATGCATTTAAGCTTTAAAAAGTAGTAAAATTTCTATTTAGTAATACACCCATCTGTACACAAACAACAACCTTTGAATTGTCATAGATAACATAATTTTAGATATCTTATTAGAACTGAAATATCGTTAAGCTTGTTTTCATTTCTCAACTCTATAGATTATTAGCATCTATCTTAGATCAACAATGATTGAAATCAATCATACTTTAAAATTATTATACATTATATATGACAAAAAGTTATTTGTAGACAGAAATGTCTCAAAGAAAAAATGGTATAATTCTTACAAGTCAGTAAATATTTTTGTCTTGGAACAGTCATCATTGAATACATAGGAGTACATATGTTGAATCATATACATGTAATGTTTAAGAGAAATTAAATTATTTAGATCTGTCTCATTGAACCTAAAGACTTAATTCTGGGAGATTAACCTAACAAATTCAATAAGTAATAAGTATATCAAGATTGATATGCTAAGATAATAATTCAGATCCACAGAACCTAAGAAAATCACTCTAAATATGGGATATGTCATTTAAATGAAGATAAGAAGCCCTGTGGTGAGTAAGCTCCCTCTAAAAATAAACTTTCAACCAAAAGCACCAAACAAAGAAAGGAGTCAGTTAAATAAATTACAATATACCAACTCTGGAATGTTATAAGCCTATTTAGCGCAATGATTATAAAGATTGTTGATTCTTGAGGGAAATAAATTTATATTTGAGAAGAGTAATTATGTGGAAATTCTAATGTTTCAAAATATTCATGAGGAAAAGAAATCACTGGGCAGTGGTGGCACGCGCCTTTAATCCCAGCACTCAGGAGGCAGAGGCAGGCGGATCTCTGTGAGTTCGAGGCCAGCCTGGTCTACAGAGCAAGATCCAGGACAGGCTCCAAAGCTACACAGAGAAACCCTGTCTCAGAAAAAAAAGAAAGAAAAAAAAAGATAAAGTAAAGGAAATCTGGGAGAAAATGTAAGTGCCCACAATAGTTTGAAAAGGTTTTTTGAGCACAAGACCTTTCCCCCTTTTTAAATGCTTTCCAATTTTTAAAGTGAAACAGCGTAACAATTCTGCACCAACTATGGAGCCAGCTGGTTCAACATGCTCAGTGAGAGTGGAGCTGGGATTAGAAAACAGTGACCCATGTTCCCTGAAGAAATTTCCTTTGCCAGTATTGTGGCTGATCTGGCTCTTGCCAACATGAAGCTCAAATTGCTGTTTTGGTTGTTTGTTTGGTTTTTTTTGCTTCTTTGTTTGTGTTTTTTATTGTTGTCTAATTCAGACAGTTTGTACAGGTACAACTTTACCACACACAGCAGTTAAATTACTTATATAAAGGAAAGATATATTCCCTTATCATTCCTTTTGAACGTGATCCCCAGTAACAACAGTCCACTGAGTGTTGACAAGGATGTCAGGGCAGAGAGCACCCCAGGGACCACTCATTTACTAGTGATGTTAAAGGCCAGCATCCTGGGGAGAATGTCACGAAAAGCACAGTGGCTGCTGGCTCAGTTACTTACCGAACCACTGATACTTGACAAAGTATACAGTTGGCAGTGATAGTACAATGCCCTAAGAAATGGTATTTGTTATTTCTAATCAAACCCCTTACTGAGCACCACCAGTGTGCCATTCACAGTGACCAAAGCAGAAAGGTGATCCCAGGTGCAGCTCCTTCCTGTCACCCGTGGAGGACAGAACCAGATGGTGTCTCATCTAAGAGCTCTCGCCAGTCAAATGTCATCAGAGGGCTACTCTCTTCAGGAAGAATAACAGAGTCGACTTAACATTTAAAATAGTCAATGTCAGACCCAAGTATCTTTTGTTTCATTAGCTCATCACTTTATCTTTAAGTTGCTACAATTTCTTACAAAAGTTTTTCAACAAACGTAGAAGTAGAAGATAGTAAAATTAACCCAACAAATGTTTTACCAAGATCCACTGGCCAGAAAACTTGTTTTTAGAACTCACCTCGCGTCTAGTTTGTTCAGTGTGGTGGCACATGCCTTTAATCCCAGCGCTCGGAAGGCAGAGCAAGTGGAACTCTTTGAGTTGAAGACCAGCCTGGTCTACAGAGAGAGTTCCAGGACAGCCAGAGCTACACAGAGAATCCCTGTCTGGAAAAACAAAACAAAAACAAACAAACAGAACAAAAGAAAAAAACTCACCTAGTTCATCAGGAATGATGGCTGCATTATCAGTGTCTTCAGAGTTAGCACCAGCATTCTGCTCAAAATTCCCACCTTCTCTTATCACAGACTCCCTGACCTCCTGAAACCACTGAGAAGGGCCCTCATCCTCATCTTCACCACTTCTGATATTCCAGGCTTTGGATATGGGCATACTCAAGATTCTATCCTGAAACACATATCATATGTATAAATAGATCTGCATAGTGAGAGAGTATGTATATATATGTCAACATCTACCTAGCCCACCCCCAAATTGGTAAGGAAACAACTATTTCTAAAATTGAGGGATGGCATTATAAATATCAGGTACCCCAGTACTACATTAAACTATCAAGACTTGCTATTTCTTTGGGGACTTGGCAGCTCTGTCTAATGAACTGTTCAAGCTAGACATATGATAAACATTCCAGGAAAAAAAAATGAACAGATGAGTGTTTCCTGGGAATGAGATGCTTTTAAAAAAAATTATGCTTTTGTTTTTGTTCTCTTTTCCCAATAGCTTTCAAATCTGGCTATATATTTAACTTACCTTTAGGAAATTACTACTTACAAAAATACTTGAGCTGGACTCCACCTTCTCCAAACAGGAGGGGTAAACTTAGACATTTGTTAACATATTACAAATGCCTTGTATGATCAGGCCTGGTGGTACCTTTTGTAGTCCAGATACTTGTGAGGGCAGGGCAGGAGGATAACTTGAGAGCCTGAGTTTGAGACCTGTCCTGGTGAGACCAGACCATAGTGAGGCAAATCTCAATGAACAAAAAGTGCCTCCTGTGATTCTGATATGTACATAGGGCCACAACCACTGTTCTAAGTCAGGGCCCCTCAAACCTTAGGGTACTCATAAATCATCTGGAGCTGGAGTCTTGAAAAATGCAAACTTTTCTTCTGTGAGTCTGAGGTAGAACTCAAGACTACGTTTCTCACAAGGTTTCTGCATCACCAGGCCACTATGAATGGCAAGGACCTATATCTGACTTCTTATAAAGCACAGAGCAGGCACTTGGCAGATATTGTTTCTTTTCTGAAGCCTAAGCAAATATGCAAATTACCATTTTCCAGGCAGCATATTGAATTTTGCATGCAAATTGTTTAGGATGCAGTTTTTGAAGGCTATAAAATGGAATGTTAAAAATAAGCTGATCCGGTTTTCGACAGATGGTGCTTGAGCTATCACTGAAATCCAGTCATACACCAGGAAAACATCAACTCAGCTACAAATACTCCTGGCAAACAGTTCCACAAATTTATTCTAAAGGGACAGACATTACTAAATATGGTAACAATAAAGTGGGGTCTTTAGAGAGGCTGGTGAAAATTAGGAATTGTTATTAACTTAAATATTTACCAGGAAGAGAACATATATGGCGGTCTTCTTCAATAACCCATTTAAGTTTAAAAACAAATCTCTAGCAGATTTTCAAAGTGGAATGCATAAGAAAGAAACTAGACTGCGATTGCCATATACTACACAGGGCATAACATACCTGCAATATGGCCTGGGAAGATAGCTCAAGAGGGAAGAGTACTTGCTTTACAATCATGAGTACCTGAGTTTAAATCCCCAGTACCCACATAACAAAGCAAGCATAGTGAACACATTTGTAACAACAACATGTGGAGTTGGCTATAGGAAGATCATTGAGGCTTACTGGCTGCCAGCCTAGTTACAAATTCAGTGAGAGACTGTTTCAAAGGAGTAAGGTGGAGAATGATAGAGCAGGATACCCAATGTCCTCCTCTAACCTCCAAGCACACACACATACATGCATACAAGCATGCATGCATACACACACACACACAAACACACACACACACACACACACACACACACACACACACACACACACACACACGAACAAGGAAGGGAGGAGGAAATAAAAGGAAATAAAATGTAGAACTCACTTGGTAGCCCAGGCTGGCCTCGAACTCACAAAGATCCGCCTGCCTCTGCCTCCCGAGTGCTGGGATTAAAGGCGTGCACCGCCACCGCCCAGCAAAACATGTATTCTTTTTAACAGTCCCACCATCACTATAAGTGAACAAGGAGTGGAGGACCTTTCCTGTGCTTTCTTCTGCATGAACCCAGCCACCACTGCTGGCATACATGGCTGGCTTTTCTATGTGTGTGTTACTCAGTAAGATATGGAAAAAACTTGCTAAACATTTTACTATATTAACTGACATTAATATTTTATATCTCTTGAAGTCATTTTATAAAATATGAATACCAAGTAGTGAAACAAACAGGCAATATGATATGGAAAGATCATCTCTTCCTACCTAAGTCAATTAAACAGCACATGGCCTGAAAATTCTGAGTTCCATGCTATGAATTCCAGAGTTGTATACAACATGGACACAACATGTTCTTTATTAAGATGAAAGGAAACTTACTGTGAGGATTTCCGTTTCAGTATACAAACGCTCAATCATAAAACTAATAGCAGAAAGACAGTCTACCCAGTCTTTTCCTTGTTCTCTCAAGTCACAGTTTGGGAAAATTGCCGAGAGATATTCTGCAAACAGAGAAAGCAGTGACAAAAACTAGAAAAGAAACTAACAAAGAAATGAATAAATAAATGTTTCATTTAAAATAAAAGAGGATCTTTGTTCTTTCTGATTGTCATTCTTTTTTTTTTTCTATTTTTACCCTGGGAGTTTAAAAGTTCTATATGATGAGGAAGCTTTGCTGAATTATGTCTTCATTTCACATATTTCCTGAAAATATTTACTTGGGGGAGGGGCCAATACTTGGTTCTTGGTGATTTAAGACAAAAAGCGCCAACTCTTTTAAGGTTCTAAGACCACTTAGGGATATGTTAGAATCAAAAAGAAGCAGCACTCTGTAAAGTGAAGAGTACCACTGTAAACTTTATGACAACATGTTCTATTTACTGATACACTTGTCATGTCTGTCTTCCCCTAAATATTCCTTCAGTATAAGGTATACCTTGTACACCATTCACCCAGACAAAGACAAAGACTCCCCCAAAATAGAACTCAAATGTTCATTCTTAGAGATGTCTCCTCAGTGTAGCTGTCCTATTCTGAGCCCCTTCAACACCATTACACTGGAAAAGATTTCTAACTGATGACATCTATGTGTCCTCTTCTAGACTCTGAGCAATATTCTACAAGCATAATACTTACATTATTGTGTTCCCAGTGTCTATAAATCCTAAGATCTCAATACACACTTCTGGAAGGCAGGAAGTTTAACATGACCTGGATCAACTATGAGATCCTTCTTCAATGTTGTTAGTCACTAGCACTAAAAGACTACTTTTTTTTCCTATCCTCTATTTATTTACTTACTTATTTATTAATTCAGCTTTTTCTTTATCTTTCCTCTCACAAGTTTCAGTACTAAAATCATGACTTGTTACTCAACAGAAACAACTACAATCAATAAGGCTGGTATTAGTACACTAGCCTAGAAACAAGCTTTATTTTTTAGAATCCCTAACCCATTGTATATCATTAGATTGTAAAATCAGTATCACCCAGTACAATGAACAGTTCTAAAATTCACGGACTTCATCATTCTTTCTTTTAACTGCCAATAACATTCATTAACATGATCAAATGATGATAAAAACAAGATTCCTCAGTAACTTTACATACCTCTTATTGCAGAAAGTTTGTTATGATCCATGAATATACTACGTGAAGCATGGCCAGGAACTGAGTTCAAAAGCAGGATTTCCTGAGAGAATATCAGGTTGGCCAAGTAGCAGGCTGCACAACTGGGAGTTGGTTTATCTCTTGCAATTATCAAATGAAAATTAGGTAACATGATGTTTCTTCTTGGATCACCAAGATACCCTTATAAAATACAGGAAAAATCAGAACTACATAGTAAGACCCTATTGGTGAAGACATCACATATTTTGATCTCAGGTCATGGACAAATTAGCTGACCAGTTAGCTTTCCTCCCCTGCTGGGTAGTTTTCATAGGACCAGAAGGTGCTATGAATGCTTCTGGGGGAAAAGTCATCAACAGTTTACCCAGCTGTGAACCCTGTGACCTGCATTCATGACCAGCATGGCAAGACACGCTCATGGGTGCAAGAGTGGCATGAATGTTATGGGGATAACAAATCATTTTCTGATTGGATATAAGGCCCACTCTACAGGCAGAAATACATGTCTGGTACTGCAAATATAGCCAAGAACTCATGCTTGAAGAGCTCATGAGCCCCAGGGGAGAACATGCTACTATTATTCTGCTATAAGGACATAGTATCAAACTATTCTTGAATCTATCTTATATTCATATATTAGCGCAGATATTAGACCTCATCAAAGACATTTCTTTGTGTAGTGGACAGTGACTACATATAAACTCTCAATTGATCAAAGTGCAGTGAGTAAGTGTCCGTGGAGGGCTCAGCTACAATGCTGACCATTACAGAAGAGGAGGCAGAAAGACTGTAAGAGCCATAGGTTGGGGAAGATGAGAGGAAAACAATGTATTTGGACATGACAGGACCACTATACCCATGAACTCCCAGAAGCTGTGGTTGCCCGCACAAGATCAAAACAGTGAACATTCTGGCATAAAACAGGATGGCTCACCAGTCCCTACCCCTAATTGAGAAGCTATTTCATTAGATGGCTTCTGTGGGGAAGAAAGTCAGTTTTCTTTAACTGGTATGTTTTATACATTCCAGTGCATGGCCCTACATCCACGAGTAAAGAAGAAGCACAAATTGGAATCAGAAGATGATTAAAAAATAAAGAGGGCACAGGTTGGGAGGGGGTAGGACAGAAGGTAGATATGGGAGGAGTTACAGGTAGGAGTAAGGGGTGATCAAAATGCATTGCATCAAATTATCAAAGAATTAACAAAAACGTTACATTAAAATACAGGGGAGGGGGAAGGAAAGGAAAATTTCATGAAGTATATCATTAAAATGCCCAAAAGAATTACATTAACTGGTTGTTCACACAAATTTTACTTGGGTGAATTTTTCTATAATTATTTTTTCTATTAAATGAGTCTCTTTGATATTGTCTGTCTATATAGTGATATTGTTCTTCTTTGCTAGTCTTGAACTTGCACATTTCAACTATCTGTTTATTGGCTTAAATAAATTTAATTTTAGGCCTCAGGTAAATATGCAAATATGTTGATTTGTAGTCTCATTGCTCCCTTTAACCCTTAAATACATTCAGAGCTATATGGGTGTATGTGTGTCTTAAAGATAACATATGAACTATGTGGGCAATAATTAAAATTTTCAAATACCTATCATTTATTGAGCAATTACTATATACCATGTTAATATTTATCTCTAAGCTGTTTTATCACTCTAACAATTCCATAATCATAACCACAAACCAGACACGCCAGGCAATGATGGAGATCCTTTAATCCCAGCACTCAGGAAGCAGAGGCAGGTGGATCTCTGTGAGTTCGAGGCCAGCCTGGTCTACAGAACAAGATCCAGGACAGGCTCCAAAGCTACACAGAGAAACCCTGTCTCGAAAAATCAAAAGAGAGACAGAGACAGACAGAGAGAGAGAGAGAGAGAGAGAGAGAGAGAGAGAGAGAGAGAGAGAGAGAGAGAGAGATGGATGTTGACTGTCACAATATTAATAAAACATACTGCTGGCTGGTACTTATTTGACTATGGGCAGTCAGATCCCATATGCAACCATGTTTGATTCCATGAACAGACCAAAAGTCACTTAATTAACACACTAGAATTGCTTATTAGGTTCCAAATTTTCATGATTCTATGAAAAAGAAAATTCTTGTAACACCCTCCAATTTTTTGAAACAAGGTCTTGCAATATAATTCAGGCTAGTCTGGTATGCATCATGTAGCCCCAGATTGACTCAGACTCATAAATCTTCTTCTTGAGCCTCTCAAGTACTGGGTTATGGGCATGCACTACCACATCTGGCTTATGAAAAAAATTCAAATGCAATGTTTTACTATATCTTCTGGTAGAAATGGGATTAATGAATCAACCAGCATAAACACTTATATAAGTTTATGTAAACAGTCTTTTAAAAATTGCACTGATTTATAATTCTTACAAGAATGTACCAAAATGTTCATTTTACTATAAAAATTGTCAAAGTTTTTCTCTGCTTCAAGAAACAAAATAACCACTGTTCTTTAGGAGTTAGAAAGTTTCCATCCATGGGCCAATCTCAGAATCTATTTGTGTGAAAGCACACTTGTCTACAGCCATACTCATCCTGATATGTCATCTATGGTTGATTTCTTGTTACCACAGCAGAGATAAGCATCTGTGACAAACAATCCCATTTATCCCTTTACAGAAAAAGTTTGCTGACCTGTGCTAAAGAATATTAATAAGTGATAAACATTTAGAAATCAGCATACAAGTACATATCTTTAATCCCAGCACTTGGGAGGCAGAGCCAGGCAGATCTCTGTGAATTCGAGGCCAGCCTGGTCTACAGAGCAAGATCCAGGACAGGCTTCAAAGCTACACAGAGAAACCCTGTCTGGGGAAAAAAGAAAGAAGGAAGAGAGGGAGGGA